GAGCTCCTTCCTTTTGGCAGCCTGAGCTCTGGTGAGGAGGAGGAAGGCAGAGAGGAGGAGGAGAAAAAGGAGAAGAAGATGGTGCCAGAAGCTGCAGCTGACGAGGTGGAGAAGGAGGAGGAGGAGGTGGAGTTGGCATTGGCAGAGATGAAGGCCAAGGAGCTGGCAGAGTTGAAAAGGTAAAAAGATCTCGGGGAGGAGAGATGGGGGAGCACGGGGTGTTCCAGCCATGGGGACAGAAGTGGGACTGTCAGAGCGTGTTCCTCTCACAGTGGGTGGTTTGTGGGTCTGGGGACCTTGGGCTCCTCTGCTCCTCCAAGCAGATGAAGAAGCTGGGGCCCCCCTTTGTCCCAGGGTTGGGGAACCTCCACAGGGGGTGCCAGTGCTGCCGAGGGACATGTGGCACCACTGTGGCAGTGGATGAGCCTCCGGGGTGTGTGTGGCAGTGTGGCCTCATTCCTTCCCCTCTCTCAGAAAGAAGAAGAAGATCCTGAAGGAGCAGCGGAAGCAGCGTGAGCGTGTGGAGCTGAAGATGGACCTGCCTGGCGTGTCCATCGCTGACGATGGTGACACCAGCATGTTCTCCCTGCGGAGCATCCACAGGACCCCGGTGTGTGGTGGGGGAGGCCGAGCTCCCCAGGGCCATCAGGGCTGGGACAGTGCCTGACTTGTGCCTCGTCTGACTTGTGTTGCAGCTGCTGGAGGAGTTGTCCCGGGGGGACATGGCCTCAGCAGACACCCTCCTGGAGATGGGCCCTGGGGACGATGACATTTATGTCTCAGATCATGAAGAAGAGGATGATGTGTCCCTGGCCAGTGACCTGGACCCAGAGGAGCTGCTGGAGATCGAGGCCCGTCAGCGCAAGCTGGAGCGGGAGAGGCGGGAGCAGGGTGGGAAGAGGTGAGAGTGGGAAAAGCCTCCCTGGAGCAGGAGCTGCCGTTGGAGCAGCTCCAGGATCCAGCAGTGGGCACACCCTGTCCTGGCTGGGGGCACTGATCCTGCTGCTCCTTGTCACAGGGCGAAGTTTAAGCAGAAGGAAGAAGAAGAGGAAGAAGGGGAGGAAGAGGAGAATCCACTGCTGGTGCCCCTGGAGGAGAAGTCAGTGCTGGAGGAGCGACAGACCAGCCTGTGGTTCGGGAAGGTGAGTCCCACGGGGACAGAAATGGTGGGGCAGCCTCAGCCCCAGCAGCTCCCCAGGGCTGCCCTGTGTCTGACCCACTGCTCCTCATCTCAGGACGCCTTTGCCGGCATCGAGGATGATGCAGATGAGGACCTGGAGCTGGGGCAGGCCCAGATGTTGGCTGAGAGACAGCGCGACTCCCACAGAGGTGAATCACTGGGGGGGCACAGAGGGACAGTCCCACAGCCCAGTCTGGGGCTCTGGATCCAACCACGATGGGGATGCTGCCCTGAGCAGTTTCATGGAATGGTTTGGGTTGGAAGAACCTTAAAGGTCATCCAGTTCCAACCCCTGCCATGGGCAAGGACACCTTCCACGAGGCCAGAGGCTGTTTCCAGCCTGTGTTGTTAAGGACCTGTCATTAGTGCAGTGTCAATGAGCAGGATCTCTAGAGGAATGGTCTGCAGTGGGATCTCCCTTGGCCCTTTCTCACCCAGTGGTTCCCATTCCCAGACAAAGCAACAAAGAAAGGGCAGAAGAAGAAGCAGGTGCTCCAGGAGGAGGCTCCAGCTGAGCCCTCACCAGCCACAGACACAGCACCTGGCACTGGTGAAGCACAGGATGAGCAGAGCAGTGACGACGACAGCAGCAGCGACGAGGAGAGGTGAGGGCTGGGAGGTGGGCCAGGATGTTCTCCCCTGCTCCAGAGTCCTGGTGAGCTGGGAGATGAGCACCCCAGCTCTGACCACGCTCCTCTCCACAGGCCACCAACAGCAGTGAGGGGGAAGCGGGGCCGTGTGGAGCCGTGTGGCTTTGAGGTGGTGCCCATTGAGAATCCAGGTGAGGGGGAGGCCGTGTGAGTCTCTCTTTAGGGACAGGAGGCAGGGCCAGGCCAAGCTTTAACGTGTCCCTCCTGCAGTGAAAAGAGCCCGTGTCCTGGACGCAGAGGGGCTGGCCCTGGGCTCCGTCATCGCCACCTCCAGAAAGGCCCGGCGGGACCTCATCGACGACTCCTTCAACAGGTACCGGAGCTGTGGGGGCTGCGGGGGTCGTTCTCCAGCAGGACGGGGTAGGTGAACTGAGGTGGGGACCCCTTGTCACCTGAGTGCCCCCCCAGGTACTCCTACAACGAGGAGGAGGGGGAGCTGCCCGAGTGGTTCACAGAGGAGGAGAAGCAGCACCGGCGCAAGCAGGTGCCCGTGGACCGGCAGACGGTGGAGGCCTATCGGCAGCGCTGGCGCGAGATCAACGCCCGCCCCATCAAGAAGGTGGCGGAGGCCAAGGCCCGCAAGAAGCGGCGGGTGAGTGGGGCTGTGGGGCCAAATCCCTCTCCCGGGTGCTCCCTCCCTCCTCCGACCGCCCTGTCCCTCACCCTCGCTGTCCCCACAGATGCTGAAGAAGATGGAGCAGATGAAGAAGAAGGCGGAGGCCGTGGTGGACACGGTGGACATCTCGGAGCGGGAGAAGGTGGCCCAGCTGCGGCGGTGAGTGGCCAAGCTGAGATCCAGCTCCTTCCCGTGGTGCTGGGCCAGTTGGTGATGCCGTGTCCCTGCAGCCATGGCGTGGGGACAGCTCTGTGTGTCACCCAGCCAGGCTGCATCCAGAACAAAGAGGGGCAGCCCAGCCTGGGCACAGAGCTCAGAGGACGGGTGGGGCCTAATACTGGTTTTAGGGCCAAAACCCAAACTGCTGGAGCTGAGTTGGGCACTGGGACTTGCTTTGAATTTTCACCCTTGTCCCACAGCATCTACAAGAAGGCCGGGCTGGCCAAGGAGAAGCGACAGGTCACCTACCTGGTGGCTAAGAAGGGCGTAGGACCCCGTGTGCGCCGCCCCCCCGGCGTCAAGGGCCAGTTCAAGGTCGTCGACAGCCGCCTCAAGAAGGACGTGAGGGCTCAGAAACGCAAAGAACAGAAGAAAAAGCGCCACAAGTGATGTGGGACCAGCTCCATCCCCGGTGAGGGACTCTGCTCAGGGCTGGCTCCTGTCCTCCACTGCTGTCCCCTGCCCTGGGGACAGGGCTGGCACTTGGTCACACACTGCTCTTAGTCTCTTAGCCCGTGCCTTGATGTGACAGTGCCTCCTGCCCTCCCCTGGGGCAGGGAGGGTTTATTTGGCCACATCTCCAGTCTCGCCTGCTAGCTCTGCTGAGATTCACCCTGTGGAGATCACGGGAGCATCCACACCAGCCCTGGCTGTCCCCAGACAGGTTGTGGCTCTGGGGGACATCCCTGGGCCGTATTTGTCACCAAGGGGGCAGGACAGTGGGTGCAGGGAGTGGGTGGGGGAAGGAGCAGGGACCGGTGAGTGACAGCGGTGTGGGCAGGGCCGTTTTCTACAAACACATCCCCATGTATTTTCAAGCATTTATAACCTCCCTTTTTTGGAAGGACCACTCATGACCCCCCTGATCCCCCACTCACCTGCTCCTTCACCCCATCATCGCTCTCCCCAGTGACACTGGGGTGCTCCTAATGACATCATCACCCCCCAGATTTCCCCACCCCCTGTTTTTACTCACCCCCAAAGGTGGCACAAAATGAGTGACAACTGCCCTGGTCAGCAGCTCGTTGCTCTAATGCATATGGACATTCCTCCCCTCAAAGCACAGGGAGGTGTGCCCAAGGATGGGGCAACTTTGTTGTCAACATGCACGATGGAGTAAAGACTGCTTGAGACCCAAGGTGGATGTAATTTTATTTCATACTAACTCTGGCTGTTCTGATGAGTAGGGAGATTCATCATCATTCAAGACATCACGTTGGCATCTAAATAGTCCATACAAATACAGTTAATAAATGAAAATACAGATTTCAGCACATATATAATGTTGAAATTCACGTTGAAAACAAACGACAACGAGCAAATCTGACCCCTGCATAAAAATACCATTTTCCAGTTTCACACTGTAGACAGATCAAAGCAAGAAAGAGCAAGTTATGCAAGCAAAGTCATTCCTAGCTTGGATATATCACTTTGCCATCAAGGAATGCCTTGCCAATCAAAGTGGCCACTGCCACCCCTTTTAAGTTTGATTGAATTCTGTCCATGTAACAGGAGTAGAATTTGATCCTTCTGTTGGAGAGGGCTGTGCTAGTGCTTTGGTGATAAACACCCTATATGCTGAGCTACTGAACACTGCAGTTTACAAAACAGCAAGTTTGGATCATGCTTACTCACTACCAACCAGGAAAAAAACCAACTTTTTTCACAGGCTGAGGTGGACTGAGCTGAATAATAATAAATGTCAAATCTACAAAATTATTGAGAATCATACACAAATGGAGAAGGCAAATGTAACAAACATTATCAACATGACACTACCATTCATTAGTAAAACTCTGAGAATGTGTAATGACTGAGCATTATGGAGCATTTTGGTTTTATTTGATTACAATGTCTTCAAACTAAAATTTCATTTAGTTGCAGTATGAGACACACCATTAAGTTGAGCTACTGACCTCAAGTTCCCTTCACAGTGAGTGGAGATATGGTTGTTAAAATTCAATATGTGATCCACCTAATCAAATGCTGAGGTCTAGTTCTGAACACATTTATGAGAGTTCATGTGAGTCAAATGACCCAAATGGTTATTGCAAACTGCTTCCTTTACCTTTACCTGAATGGCACTGAATGAGACACTGGGAGCACAGAAGGAGATCACTGTGATGAGGGATGCAGTCTCCAGGTGTCACAGGAAGGCCACTTTCCAATGGGGTCACTCAGAGAGAACTGGACTGTGACCAAGCAGCATCACAGATTTTTCCTGTGTTCTGTTGTTTCATACTTCAGCAACAGTCCAAGATCTGAGCTGCACAAAACCACGTTTCAGCTGGAGTTACACCCTCTGTGGCTTGATCTCTGAGCATTCCACTCTGTGACTTAAGGATCTGGTCCTTGCTTCATGAAAAAGCATCTGCATACATGGAAGACAATGTAGATTTGCAATGAGCATGCTGATAAACATCACTAGGGCAGGGATCTCTTTGGCACAACAGTTTAATCTTACTGCCCCTCAAAGTCCTGTTATGCTACCTAAACTGGATCTGTACAGAACAGTTATGCAAAAAGGATCATTCTTCCTGAAAGTGGCAAAACCAAATTATGACTTTACTGTAAAACAACTCTTTCAGGTCAGCAGTCTCAAACACAGTTTATCAGCAGCAACTCCTGTTTCTTCAGCTCTTAAGAGAGGCGATCAGAGTTCATTTTTCAAAGTTTGGCAGGTAAATTATCTTCCAGTTTCACCTCCAGAGCACCCGTACTTGGAGAGATCCTGTGTAACTCGAGATCACTGGCAGACTGAGTCAAAGCACTTATTTTTGAGGCTTTCAGCTGCATCCTGTCATCACCATCTTCACCCTCAGAGCTGGGACTTATTTCTTGAATTTTCAAGAGATCTCCGGTACTGAAAGTCTTCTCTGTGTTACTGGAACTCATTCTCAGGGCTCTTTGTGGAAGGCTTTCCTTTCCTGAGCTAATCTTCTGAAGTTTAAAAGGGAGCTTGTCCTTCTCTCCTGCAATATCAACACAGTCAAGTGGACAAACCTGTTCTCCTCTGGTTTTGTTATTATCGACGGGACTATTGAAAGGAGAGGACAGGGACAGCTTTTCCTCTTGCTCTTTAACACTGTAAGGAGGAGTGGGGACTTCAAATGTAGCATGAAACTGAGAATAATCGACACGGAAAAAACCATTTTCCAGAGACATTACAGGGAGGAACCTGTGACCCCAAAGGACTTCATCTTCTGTATACGAGGTCCTAGCTTGACATGTCATTCCTGTGGGAACAGAAACAAAAGCATGGCATTCTAATGTGAGCAGGCAGACTGGCATCTACAACAAAAAATAAAGGGTAAGGCTAAAAATCAATTGTAGCCTGCAAGCTAATAATTTTATGGATTATAAAATGGGGTAATTTTTCCCAGACAATCTTCTGACATCAATGGAGTGCCTCTAGTTCACTGATTTTTATGCAAATATTGCAGACTTGAGACCAAGCAAAAGCAAACTGTAAAATAAAAACAGTATTAGCTTGACAGCAACGACAATCTTACAGCTTGTATCATAAAATCTCAGAATGGGCAGGGACACCTTCAACTAGACCAGGTTGCTCAGAGCCCCATCCAACCTGGCCTTGAACACATGCAGGGATGGGGCAGCCACAGCTTCTCTGGGCAACCTGTGCCACCCTCAAAGTAAAGACTTTTTCCCTAATATCTAAAGACTTTTTCCCTAATATCTAATCTAAACCTACTCTCTTTCAATTTTAACCCATTCTCCCTTGTCCTTTAAATGCTCTTGCCCCATCTTTCCTGTAAATTCTCTTCAGGTACTGGAAGACCACAATTAGGTCATCCCAGAGCTTCTCTTTTCCAGGCTGAACAATCCTAATTCTCTTAATCTTGAGAGAGTTTGTAACATTGTTCCTTGGAAGTCACCTTGCTATTGCTTGGCAGAGGCTTACAGAGTTCTCTGGCAAGGATCAGGTGTGGGGGGAGCTAAAGCTCAATGAAAAATGTAACATTCCATTCCTTCCATAGGCTAGGCTACTTTTTCTCCAAATAATATGTCAAGACAAAAGCTGTGCAGAGACACTGAAGCTGTTTCCCATGCAACTGTAAATGCAGAAAGGATGAAAATGCACTTTGATTAACCAAAGCTTCACAAATCCTCAGAAGGCGGCAGAGGAAGATCAGAATACTGATGATTTGGACTTTAACAACGTGCATGGATCCTTGATGCAGAGCTTCTTATATAACTTAGAACACATTTTCACAGCATTCATAAAACAATTAAGTTTTCAAAAGACAAGGCCACAAAGTCAGCTGTCATCTGGACAACACCATACCCAGATGGAAAACAAAAAAAGCCCTGCTCATATTTGTTGATAACCATATGTGCCCACAATCTTTGTGACTGACAAGGTCTGTATTTGTGCTGTAAAACTGGACTTCTTATTCTGCATTTAATTTAATGTAAGCTAAATTAAAATTAGATTGAAAGAGATTTTGCAGCACTGGCAACTTTTAAAGTTCAACATTCTCTCAGAGTGGTGGCCCTTAAAACGGGAGCCTGTGTTTCTTCCTGGATGTTCTGGCCACTTTGGGATTCGGGAATGCAGAGGTCTCCTATTCACTGGTACAGGCCACTGAAGCTCTGCAGCATATGGCAGGATATTCTGAAGCATCCAGGACTAACAGCTGCCTTGCTAAAAATATCAGGACCAGAAAGAAAGGCTAAAAATTAGAGAATATTATTCTAAATCTTACCCGTAGTCTCAACGATTCCTTCGAGGATGACAACTATTTCAAACTGCTCGCTTCTTAGGGATCTTTGTGAGAGACAAAAAAAGGGGCTCTCTGAGGTAATTTCATGACAGATGGTTAAAGGGGAAACTAAAAACAGCTGGTCGGCTCCAGTTCCAAATCCAACATCCAGCTCACACTGGTCTAGCGGCAGAAACTCTCCCTCCGGTGTCTGTCTGGACTAAAGATAAAAAGATGATTTAGTAATCACCACATGAGGCAAAACGTGAAATCAATGCAATAAAGTTTAAACCTGCCTCTTCCATGACATTATCATCTACATATATTAGCTCTGGGGTCTTCATAATGGAATATAAGTCATGCTAAATACTACGAGGCTGCTATGTAAGACCAATTTTGACTTTTCTTATTGTGCCCTAGAATTCATCACCACCTACAAACTTTGAGTTATATATATATGTATATACTTCAACAATAATCTGCCTTGCAACGGATGTTCAACAGGAATATCCTGCTGCAAAAGTTCCTGTCATCAAGAGGAAAATCTGCAAGCTGAGCACATTTTAATCTCTTGCTTGAATTCATGTTTTATTATTTTTGTATGTTACTAACTTTTGTTTGGCAGACAGAATGATGTATTAACTCAAAGGTAAACATCATAGCAATGGTACAGTATGTCTGGTAAGTGATGTTTCCACAAAACCATCTGAATTGATGCTGATGCTGCTATCATCCCTTGCTAATTTGAATGTACCACCTACTCTAAGTTGACCTTAATAATGAATTTATAATATTATTAAGTGCCTAATTTTTCTTCCCATCATTTCATGGGTCCAATGAAAATACTGATATGATAGCTTCTCTCCACTCAAATTTTCCTGGTGTTCAAAGTATAACTAAAAATTCCATCAGTTGGCCAGGCAGCTCCTCAGCTCAGTCTCTGAAGGTCTCTGGTGGAAATTGCCCATTAAAATTAGAAGCTTTGCACAGCCAATACAAAACCTCTTTAAAATCCTTTCTGCTTATTATTTGATTCAAAAGCACTTAACACTTTAAGAAGACGAGTACTGATTATAAATGGTAGACTATTCTGTATTTACTAAATAATTTTAATTGTGTTGCATTCATATTGACAAATTTATTGGTATCACTGCTTGGAAACACTGTTTCTTGAGAGCAAGTCAAAGGTAGCAGTTCTGCCATCAACTTAGATCCCATTAGTATTGTTTTACTAGTCTTTAAAAACACTCCCTAAGCAACTAGTGTATCTTCATATTGTCCTTCCACTTCATATGTATTTTAAAAATGCTGATGTTATAACTGCCTGGTATTTACTGATGATTACATAACCAGTTAGGAAGCTGCCAGAACATTAAATACAACGCACGATTTCATTTATGTGCTACGTGTTTGTTCTTCTGCTAAGGAAAAAATAATTTCCTATCTAAATAACCAAGTTCTCCCTTACACAAGAGGACAAGAGCCAGTTTCTGATGAAGACAGAGAAAATATCAGCTGGTTTCTCATAAAAGCATTCTCACAAATTAGTTGTGATTTGAAACATAAAGGACAATGCTATGAAATAAAAACGATCAAAGCCACCACCACATACCGGTCGTGACGGTCTCTGTTATGGGCAAAGGTGTAATCAAACTATTGCAAAAACGTCTTTTCTCTTTTCCTGAGACAATCTGCACAACCAAGCTGCAGAACTACGCCCCTGCTTTGTTGCCTGGCTACTGCTCCTTCCGTGGGTGCACAAATTCGTTGGCTGTGTGTGATCTTTGCTCCACGGTAACAAGGCTCAACATGAGCTGCAAGAACCAACATCTAAACCTCAGACTGTCCCAAAGTTTTATCAAATACAGCTACCTAGACAAAAATGTGCATCTTTGCACAAAAATTGCTGCCTGACTGACTTAAGAACTTTGTTTGATCTACAAACCATTTTTCTTTGTGGAAGAGTCTTCGATCAAATCCATTCAAAAGCAAACAAATCCAGCAAGGATGATTAGAGGTAACAGATCTGGGAGAAAGCAAAAGGTTGTGTTTGAGGTATTCAGTATCTTACACACAGGATTGATTTATGCAGGCCAGGGAGAATTTTTAAAAGAAACTTTGTTAAATAAAAAAGAAATTAACCTGAATGAAGATAGCTTAATAGCCCCAATATGTCAGGCTCCCAGCCAGTGACCTTTGCTGCACATATATAGCTTTACTCAAAGGATCACAAAACAAGGCAGAGGACTATAAACTGTCAGCAAAAAGTCTGGAAGGAACACTTGTGATTCTTTATTTTGACTCATATAACACAAAGCCAAGCAAATTTCTCAGATCAATACATGCTTGAACAAGGGCACAATCACTCAGAAATGCCCCAGCTTGCATTCTAAATGTAAAGAGGTAAAGAATCTAAAGGTTTAGATGAATTTCTCCAAAGGTTAAGTGCTTCATACCTAAAAAAAAAAAAAAAAACAAAACTCTTGTGTCTTTAGCTTTCTGCCACTGTATCTTTGTTTTGTTTTTTATTACCAGGCACATTTCCACTGCATCATCACTTTGTTTTAGTGAACAAACACCTTATGTCCTTCAAATCTTCACTCCTATCCTGTATTCATTCTTATTGCTTTTCTAAACCCTGTTGTTTATGCACATTCTCCTTTAACTGGACATGATGCAGTTTTATTCTTATTAACCCTCTGTCACGTCACTCCTTAGAGAACTCACATAATTATGTTTTGATACCCAGGTGGACTCATTAAGCATTGGAGTATAAAAAGAGTGGGATGCAAAAGATGCAGCACCATCGAGCTTAATATTGTAGTATATTGTAGAGAAACTCAGGAATCTGGAAAATGCTAAAATGGTACGTGGTCATTTGCTAAACAGTGCTACAGTATTTTCAGTACTGGTATTTGAGAGGAATCATCTCACCTGTCTGGGCTTCAGCTCCACACTCAGACTATCAGCTTGCAAGAAGTATTTTTAATACTATTGTTAGCACATGTTGAAAACAGGCTGTGATGATTTTACATTCCTCAGCTTTCTGAATCAAAACATCCTACACCACCATCTGAAACACTACACAGAGCACTCTACACTCCAACACTGTTTATCAATCACATCTGGAATCCCATCAAGAGAAGGTAAAAATAGGTAGCATAATTAAGTTTTAAAAAATCAATACTGATCACCATACTGCCTGAGGCACATGAGTAAGGTCCAGAAATCAACAGGCAGAAAAATACAGCTCACTGTGACACTGAAAAGACCAGGATCTGAAACTGCAGCGTTTTCAGCAGCTAGTTCAAGCAGCTTTTTACTGTTTCTCACCCCAGGATTTTGCTTTTTCCTGCTTCTACGGTACTAAATGTAAATTAGAAAGACTCAGGTTTCTGGAAAAGTTTTTGCTGAAACACGTACAATTAGTTTTGTAACTGTTCTCCAAACTCACCACGACCCAGCCTAAAAAGAGCCCCAGACTTTTGCACGACATCACTACACTGTGCTGCTGCACATCCCTGGACACAAAGAAAAGCCAGCACAGTGTGGTGACAGTGGTGACACCACTGTAATCTCCTGAATATCTCGGGGCACATATCACACTGTCAGTAAATGCCATTCAGACAGACTTAGGTTGGTGTTCTTCCTTTACAAAGGGTAAAGAGCTCCATTGGTCCAACCAAAATGCTACAATCACTACTAAAAAGATCTATCTCAAGGACAAAACTGTGACAAGACACTTGACCAGCCACTATTGAGTGCCAGAATGATGTGTCCAGTTCAACAGGCACTTTCACAAAACGAGGAGGATTTGCAGAAAGCCACAGGAACTAATACCACGCCTTGCAGTGAGGACTGAGGGGGCAGCCAGTGCACATTCACTTTTAATTTTTCCACTGTTCATAGCTTATGGTTGCAAAGCAGCTTTTAAGCTTTTAAGACAAGTCATGGGCATGACAATCATACAAAAAAAAAAAATCAAGAATTGCTCACTGATTGTCTAGCCCATCCTAAGCTGGCTATCCTAAGACAAATTGGTCAAGCAGATCCATCAATGTCCCTGAGTTTTCTGGAGCAATAGATTGTCAGCAGAAAGCACACCTTGTATATTCAGTGTCTTATTTCAAAAAGAATTTATAATGAGTTACCATCACTGTAAAAACAAAACTATGACACTGCTTTTATTCTATTTTGACTTGCATTTCAGCTTGAGAGGAGGCTTTCTGCTAATTTTGAATAGTTAGAGAGCAACAAAAAACATGGTTTAGCTGGCTTTCCAATTCCTACAAAAATTGCTCCAGTGTAACTCCTGACAGCTTGTTCCCATATATACCCAACATTTTTTTGAATCTTAGTAGATTCTCCATTTTAAATGGTATTCTGCACCAAGAAAAATTAACATCTCAGTCAAGTGTTCTGCCCAGAACAGAAGGAAAACAGCCCTTCACATTTACCATTGCCCCATCACCTACTGCTTCATGCTTATTTCTGCAGATTATTCAAAAGGACAGTGGATTACCAGATAGAGTATGAACATTTATAACACTCAGATAAGACATTCTGAAATTAATGTCATCATTGGGATCCCACTTCTGACAGTCCTCCCCAGGTGTGCTCCCATGACAAGACACAGCTGCTGTGAGCTGCTGTGTTGCTTCATCTCAGCAATGCTATACAGTGTTTTTCTTCCATTCAGCTCCAGCTGATTTATCTTCCAGACCTTCGTGCCTGCCAAATTCCACTCTCTCCTTATAATTTATTTGCTTTGTTATGATCTTTGAATTTCAGTTTTCTTGTGTTCTGAATTATGCTAACCGTCGTCAGTGATTATTAAACAGGTACTGGTGACAATCAAAGGGTCTTTCCACTAAAGCACCTGTACAATCCCTCTGAAATGCGAGGAGGTCACTAGCTGGAACATTGGGATAAAGCTCTGCAAGTTCAAGATCTTCCAAGGGGAAGAGGGGGTCAAGGCTGATATTTGTCCTTAACTAATTCTTTCTTTCCAGCCACCACCTGCTAAGCAGCACGCCTTAGTACCCTTCCTGCAGCTATCCTGCATCCTGACACATCCATCCTTCCTGCCAGCCTCACGATCCACCGGAATGCCCCTGGGAGGTCTCTGATGAGGCTGTTTATCCCTATGCCAGCTTGGCTCTTCCATGGCTCCTCCTGTGCCCAGCCACTGCAACTTCTTCCATAGCCCTTCACACTGCCCCTCTCACCCACGCACCGAGGGACAGGGCAGCTCTCCCTGGGGCAGGGCAGAGCCCACCAGAGCAGCAGAAGGGGCTGCACAGGGGAAGCCCCACACTATCTGCACTAGGGACACAACCTTGCACTTGGCTCATACCCTGCTCACCGCAACCCGGGTGCCCCGTGCCACCCGCTGCCGTGCCAGGCCTCACCTTGATCAGCTTGCAGCGGATCTGGGCAGACACCATGTGGCTGTTGCGGAGGTTGCCGACGCGAAACATGAGGCAGAGCCTCCCGTCCCGCTGAGAGATGACCGCGGCACGGCTGAACATGAGCGTCTCGGCTCGCTTCTTGGGCTGGGACATCTTGATGAACATGCAGCCGATGAGGAACGCGTCGACCACGGAGCCCAGCAGCGACTGGAAGAGGAAAAGCACGATGCCTTCGGGGCAGCGCTCGGTGATGTAGCGGTGCCCGTAACCGATGGTGGCCTCGGTCTCTATGAAGAAGAGGAAGGCGGAGGGGAAGTTGTACACGTTGGCCACGCACGGGCTGTAGGTGTCATCGTGCGCCTGGTGCAGGTCACCCCGCAGGTAGGCGATGCCCCACCACATCGAGGCCATGACCAGCCAGGCCACCGTGTAGGTCAGCAGGAAAATGAGCAGGTTCCAGCGCCACTTGAGGTCCACCAGCGTGGTGAAGAGGTCGGAGAGGTAGCGGCTGCTCTCGCCGCCCAGGTTCCCGTGCTGCACGTTGCAGCGCCCGTTCTTGTCCACGAAGCGCTGCCGCTCCCTGCGGGCGCTGCAGCGAGCGGGGCCCACGGCCTGGTACTCGTCCCCGAACTTCCTGCGCACGGCCGACATGCTGCGGGCCGCCGGGGAGCTCCGCGGGCGCGGCGAGAACGCGGCGGGGCGGGAGGGGCGGGAGGGGCGGCCGGACCCCGCCGCCTGCGAGCAGCAGCCGCCGCCGAGCGCGGCGCCGCTCCCCGGGGCACGGGGAGCACCCGGATGCCGGCGGAGCGCGGGTCGGGAGCCGCCAGCGCTGCCCGCTCGCCGGCAGCACCGGGGGAAGATGCGGAGCAGCCGCGGCCTGACGGGGCACACGCTGGCGGGGTGAGCCGGGCCGGGCCGGGGCGCGCCGAGCACCGGGGAGGGCACAACGGCGAGGGCGGCCGGCCGAGCCCCGTGAGCTCCGGCGGTCAGGGCGGCGGGGCCCAGAGGAAGATGCGGCGGGCAACACGCACCTCCGACCGCAGCCCGGCCGCCCTCCCGGCCGCGGGCAGGTTGGGGGCGGGAGGGAGGGAGGCGGTGCGTAGAACGGCTCCGAGGGCGCATGAGCGAGGTGCGCACCGGGATACGGGGACGCGAGTGTCGGGAGCCGCTCCGAGGCCTCCGGAGCAGCCTCCAGCCCCGCACAGGCCCGCACCCGCAGGTAAGGGCGGCCCGGCGGCAGCGCTGCTCCCGGGGCTGCGGTGGCAGCGCGGGCATAGGCGGCCCCTTTGTTCAGCCGGGCGGGACCGGGCCGGGCTCCCGGCGGGTGCGGGCCCCGGTGTGACTGGAGCCCGCGGCACCGCTGGGTTCGCCCGGCGGGCTCGGGCCGAGCCCGGTGACTCGGGGCCGTGCCTGGCGGGGGCCCCAGGCAGGTGCGGCCGGGGGGTGCTCGCCAAGCGCGGCCTCACGGCTGGGAAGCGGGTCGGGAAGGGAACGTGTGGCTGCTGATGTGCGGGAAGTCCGGTCCGGGACGTAACTTCGCCCCGCGCTCGGTTGAGCCGTGAAGGGGGTCCGGCCGCACAAGCCCGGCCGCCGCGCAGTCAGCGGTGCCCGGGCTCGGTGGAGCTCGTACAGCGCTCTCCGGGGCGGGACAGCCATGCCCAGGGTGCCGGTCCGGCCTCGCCGCGCTCTCCCCGCGGGTGTCCCCGCCGGGCCCCCGGAGCGCCCATCACGGGCTGTGCCCCCGAGGTGCGGCCGCGGAGGAAGAGCCCGGCCCCGCGGTGCCCAGCAGGGAACGCTGTGCCGTTCTCTCCCTGCCTCGGTCAGCCGTGGGAGTAGTCGCTCTTTTAGTGCTATAGTAGATGCAGTACCCAGCGAAAGGCTTGTCTCACTCGAATTCGGATGCGAGGAGAACTCCTGTGTAATGGCCATCGGTACTCGGGCCCTGTTCCCTACAGGTGTGTTGTCTGACCTTATCGCCAGGGTGATCTTCTCCCGGAAAGATGTTAAACTGCTTTCTGAAATGGGATCTACTGCTTTGGATGATGTTAATCTGGATTATAGAAGCTTTATGTTGTATTAAGCTGTGAACCACAATAGGTTTATTTTCCAAGGTAATGGGGATATGCCAAATCACATTATGCTTCTGTTTAATCCCCCACTTTGACCCCATGTAGAGCGTCAGAGTGAGATTTCAACACTCAGTTCATTTACTTGAAAAACTCACTTAGGTTTTGATACCCAGGTGGACTGATTAATTATAGTGATAGAAAATACGGGGTGCAAAACAGAGGTGACTGTTGAGCTTAACATTTCATTATGTTGTAGAGTAACTCGGGAATCTAGAAAATTCTGACTAGGAATGTGCTAATTTGCCATGCAATACTATGGTGTTTTCAGGAAGCTATTTAAAAAAATGTTGAATTGTAAAACCATCAAACTTGCAATCAAAATATCAGAGATTTGTCTGCAAATAGAAACACAAGGAGCATCCTTTATTGCATTTATCAAAGAGTTGGAGTATCACACATTCCTTTGTAATGCTTTATGTGTGCTGCTATGGCAGGTTTTTTAATGCAAATATCTGTCTGATGAATTTTTGTAAGCATGAAAAAGCTTTTAAGTGCCTTGGAATACAGTGTTTTGTCTTGGACTGGTAATTATAAGCGTAAATTCAATTTTGCCTTTTTTAAAAACAATTGCTCTGGAGTCATTTGCTCTCAGTGACAAGAGAAATCTGCACTAGAAGCATCTAAAGCAATTTCTGAGCAATGGAGAAGTAGCCTTACTTGTTGAAACATTCTTAGTAGCTGTGACCAAGGTTGATAGAGTGACAGTCTTATTATTAGCTTTAATGGAACTGTAGTATGGTGTTCATCAGAATTCCAGGGGGATGTACATTCCTTTGAGATGTGCTTTTAGGAAGCCACGGATCATCTTGTCCTGTGGCATCTTCCTGAGTGCTCTCTATTTCTGCATCTGATGTTTATCAATGCTTTTAAACATCCATTCTCTTCTGTCTTTTCAGACAGTTACTTAGACCAGTGGAAACTACCTCTCTAGAGAGATGCTCAGCCTTGTCTGAGATACAATATGGTTATTATATAAGCTACCTCTCTAGAGAGATGCTCTCTTGAGCATCAGCCTTGTCTGAGATACAATATGGTTATTATATAACCTGGTATTTTTCATTGTTTTACTTGTACAGAAGAATAAGTGCAGAACTCTGCTTGATTTAGGTTAAACTGAGCACCTGAGGGAAAGATGTACTAGGAATTCACTATTTTTACATGTTTGCCATTTTTCTCACATGCTTGAGCTTAGATGCTGTGTTTGCTCATTTCAGGACTGCCTCTGAATCACAGTCCAGAAAGAAGAAACACTCGTGTGGATTTAAGCTGAACATTTGTCTCTGAGATTAAGAACAAAGCCATGCCAGTGCTTTCTGAAGACTCAGGTAAATAATCTGCATGTTTCATGTGACTGAAATCTTAGTGTATGTGTTTCACACAGGAAATTAGTTCAAATTGGCAAGTTGTTCTAGACCACAGAGTAATTAACATGAAGGGGAAACTTAAAAGGTAATGTTTTTTAAAAAATATATATTGCTTTGGTGGGTTTAGCCTTATTATGATAATTGTTATATCTTAAGCTGTGTTTGCCACTTATGAAGGGAGCATTGCAAAATGAGTGGTAGATAAACACAAGTCTCTGCAAACTTGATCACCAACATGGTACCAAGTAAGTGTAGTAGCTGTTGGGTCTGCAGTAGGAGGTCCCATGAGAAATGCTGTGTACAATGTTTTTGTTCTGTCCTGAATCTGAATTTAGGATTGCATGAAACTTTGGCCCTTTTGACATCTCAGCTAAGACCTGACTCAAATCATAAAGAGGAAATGGGATTCCTTAGGGATGTCTTCAGTGAAAGGAGTCTCAGCTACCTAATGAAGGTAAAAGTTCATTTAAGTATGTACATTTTCCTTACAGTTTACTTGTTCTCTGTATTTATCAACTTATTCTCTTGATTTATCAACCATTTACTTTGCCAAAGCTGCTTTTTTTAAAGAATTCCATACCAACCCAAAGTATGTGTGTTTAAGCACAAACATTAAGAACATTTGAGAATTAACATATTTTGTTCAGGAAAAAACATCTTTGCTCTGATTGCTAAAATGAAGATACAGTGCCCTGTAACTAAAAAGTAGTCTGAGATGGCTGCATTTTTTTTCCTTACACTGCTAAAGTCTTAACAGATTTTCTGGCTGTCTGAAACTATCACGAGTAAAAAGAAAACTAGAAGACTCCTAAACAAAAAAAGGAACCCCAAGAGAGATTATTTTCCTGACACATCTCAGAAAAATTGTATTCCTTAAATAGAAAAATATTCTAGTGTAGGTATATTTAGAAAGTTTTGAATCTTTCTGTAGAAATATCTCTGAATAATCTTTTTCAGATTCATGAAAAGCTCCGTCATTATGAAAGACAGAGTCCAACTCCTGTTTTACACAGTGCAGCAGGATTAGTTGAAGATGTAAGTCAAAATTCCTGTCTCCTACTTTTCCTGTTATTTAAGCCTGCTTTTCTAATATACCAGAGTTTTGCAATTGGATCTTCCACCTTGGTGGACTCCTTTAATTTTGGGGTTGTAAATTTTTATTTTAAAGGTAATAGAGGAGTTGCAGACTGCACCAGTGAATAACGAAGAAAAAGAGCTGCTTCAGCTGCTGTCAACACCTCATCTCAGGGTAAAAAAACACACTGGGGACTTTAACAAAATCCCTTTGCACAATTGCAATGGAACATTTTGTAGCAGAAAAGCTTTATTGAAGTGTCCCTAAGAGAAAGGAAAAACCTCTTGCAAACTGTAGTTCTGTTCCACTATGATTTCCTGCACAGATTGTGGGATGCAAAGGGAATTGAGAAGACACAGAATCAGCCTTTCCTGCATAGTGCATCAGGCTGTCTTCCTCTGTCCCCTCCTTAATATTTTCTGAGGGAGCAGAATAGAAAAGGAAATCTTTTTGCTTCTCATAGTCCACTCAGGTTTTTTTAGGCTGAGCTTTGTTGTTGCCTGGATTTATTATAAATATCAACATATACCAGTATATAGTTTACATGATGGCTAATGTAATTGTTGAATCTTTTTTGGAGGTTTTGTGGTGAGGGTAGAAAGGGGGAGATTTAAGTTTGCTGTAATATTGGAAACGTGAGAACTGGGAGCTGTAATATTGCTACAATATTACAAATATTGTAAAATAAATAAATAAAATATTTTTTATTTCCTTTATGCAGGCAATGCTTGTAGTACATGACACTGTAGCACAGAAGAACTTTGATCCAGTCCTTCCACCTCTACCTGATAACTTTGATGATGATTTTGATGAAGAATCAGTGAAAATTGTTCGGCTAGTGAAAAATAAAGAACCCTTGGTACATATTAGATAACCCACACCTAGTCATAAAACTCTGTAGTGCAAAAGTGTTCTTGTGAGTATAGAGGGGACACTCGAAGATGCTGTCAAATAACCAGCAAAAACTAGGAGTGTTCTGAAGCCAGTAAAGTAACATAGAAAGAAAACTTTGGTAAATACACCTTCACAATTTTGCATTGGGATGCAAATGGGTTTATAATACCAGTTAACACAGGGAACACTGTCTCTGAGGAAATTTTATATGTTGAAGTGATTATGCTTATTAGATGTATTAATTGTTTTCATGGTGTAGCTAACATTCAGTGACTTAATATATTCATTTACATTAAAGTTAGTGACATATGGTAAGAGTATGTTTTGATACCTGTATGTGAACATTATATTGTCAAGGTACAAATGGAAATGGATGAATTGATTTCCTAAGAAAAAACAATTGTGTTGGGGAATAAATATGCTTTTTGTATATGACAGTAGTAGAAGAGAGCAGTGACTTAATTCCTGCTAAAGCTGATTAAAGCTTTATATTGCCAGCAGAGCTTGGAGAAGGAAAAAAAAAAAAGATCTAATTACTTGGCTTTTGTTGCTTTTATATGTAAAAGTGCTGCCTGTATTGTATAAAGATTAGAAGACAAAGTTGGTTGTAACAAATCCTGTTTTGCACACTTGAGTGACTTGATGACCACAATGATGTAGGTAGTGTAAGCACTCAGCAAAGTCCACAGCAAGGAAGGTGTGTGAACCTTCCCATAATGGGTGGGCAAAAGTTGAATAAGGGTGAAAACTGTCAAGGAGAAAGAGAAAATCAATTGAAGAAATTAATTCCAGTTTAAAAGATGAAGTAGTGTACGTGTTATTTCACTGCTTGCCGTATTCTAAGCAAATTTCTTACATTTTCCTGGCTTGGGGGGGGTTTGTTTTATTTCAGGGAGCCACCATCAGAAGAGATGAGCACACAGGAGCTGTGGTTGTAGCAAGGATCATGAGAGGTGGTGCAGCTGATCGCAGTGGTATGATCAGTGGTAAATTTCTGAAGAGAAGGGGATTTTTAAATTGCATTTGTAAACTTCTGAAGTTTCCTAAGCGTGCACTTAACGTTTCTGTATTTCATCAGTAATCTATTAATCTGATTATACTTGTTTTTTTTCTGAAATGGCCACTAGGAAAAAAATGCAAACAAAGATAGAAGAAGTAGGTTTGAGCTTTAGAAGAAGGAAAAGAATGTTTTTTACTTTTAATCTTGGTTTATTCAGGTTTATGTGTTGTTTTCTGTGTGCTTTACTGAGAAATTCTTTTATGTTGGTTAACATAGTATAAGTTGGTTAACACAGACAAGTACAACCTGAACTGGATAAGCAAACCTAAAACTTGTAGAGTCTCTTCATGGCTTGTTAAAAAAAAATGAGTCTAGCATTCTTTCTAGTGTTGATCTGTCGTGTCATTCCTGCCTTTACAGTCAGCAGTGTGTTTCCTGACTTTACAAGATTTTGATCATCCTCATGTTACTATTCCAATTTCATATTCTTAATGCTGATCGAAATAGAGGCAGTGGTTTTCCAGAGCATCTTGCCACATGTTGTTTTTCTGCATGCTGGTCTCCTTTAAGACTGTGCTGCATGAAAAAAAAATGCCACATGGAATAAGGGCAGGAGACTTGGAGGCACGTTGCCAACAAAGGCAATAGTATTAAATCTATCAAGCTGGATGAGGGAGGAGAGAAGGTACATGCTAATGACTTAGGCTGGACATCAGAGGAGTGGTAGACCTATTTTAATTTATTTACCATCTTTTCAGGTCTTGTCCATGTTGGAGATGAACTAAGAGAAGTCAATGGTATTACTGTGCTTCACAAACGACCGGAAGAAATAAGTCAGATTTTGGTCTGCACTGATTTTCATTTCAAGATCTTTTCTGTTGGGTGATCTAGTAATTACAGTAGATGATAAAATTTAACCATGAGTTTAAAATATAGAGCTAAAAGATGCAATCCCTGCTTGTCTTTGCATTAAGAGTTTTTCTTCTCCCAGTGGATTAGTCTTCTCCTTTTGACTTCAGAAACTTCTGCGAGCTGGATCGGTACCAAGTAAGATACAAATATAAAGTTAACATGTTGCTCTGTCAAGAACTTCCCTTTAGTGCTTTGTTTATGACAAGCAAATTGCAAATTATAAGTACACTCCTAGAAGATAAGCAGTTTATTCATAGTACAATATGTTAGGAAGCTGAAGGTGGTCTTGGCTGTGTGTCCAGTAGAGCTGTGTCTGTTCCTCACCAGCAGATTCCTGCCAACAGCAGCAAATTCTTGCTTTGAGCTCCTCTAACCTGAATACCCACAAATCCTGGTGGAAAGTGTCGCAGCTCTTACGTTTCTTTATCTCAGACTTCCCTCCTGTAGCTTGGTTCCCCCTTGTCTTGTTGTGGAGTGGAATTAGGGACACAGTGAGAAGAATGGCAACACTAGAAGAGTGAAGTATCTGGTGTCAGTTCCTAATTTAAATGTCTGCTTTTGACTTGGAGCGGTAGGGGATGTCAAAATAATTTTGAAATAGCATGTAAAATTTTATTTATGGGGACCCTGGGATGCTGTTCATCTGTCCTGTGTATACTGATCACATCTGTCCTGTGTGATTACTTATTTTGTCTGTGCCATGTAAACTAATGCCTGCAGTATAATAGTTTCCTTTTTGTGGTTTATTTTTTGTAGAAGAGCTATAAATGTTTGTCTGTGTTTCCTTTTTAATCTGTGCAGAATAGCAGGCTTCTCTGGGACACAGTTCATCTTATCCAAAATAAGGCATCTAAAATAGATCAGATAAAGATATTCTAGATTTCTGATGCATCTAGAAGTGCTTTTTCATTTACTATAACTAATAGTTGACTTTTACTAGCAAAGATTTCTAGAATGAAAGTAGATGTTTATTTTGTTGATGTTTAGTCTGCAAAAACTTAAGTTAATCTCATACTAAAAGCCACAGAAGTATTTAACACCCTGTGAACTCTAGTCCAGAGATTAATACAGTTGCTAAAAGCAAGTGAAGGAATTTTAAGGCAGATCTTAATATGTTCTAGCCAAGTAGTTACTGTGGATGTTTCCATGGGTAAGACACTGCTGTGGAAGATTCATGGAACATCAGGATTGTCTCTGTAATAAAGTTAAAATAGTGGATTAGCTTGGCCTGTTACTGTTCTGAGAAGAAGAGACAGCTGCTAGCTCCTTAACTGGAGCTTGAATAGTCTGCACTGTATCCTTGTCCTGCTTTCAAAAGTAAAAATCATTTCTCTGTTTCTCAGGCTCAGTCTCAGGGGTCAATCACATTAAAAATAATTCCAGCCGTCAAAGAAGAAGATCGTCTAAAAGACAGCAAGGTACTGAAATCCTGAAGCACATATTTATACATATATATTTATACATTCTGGCATCTCTGTAAATGCAACGTTCCTGCTGTGTCAGTGACAAGTGTCACGGACACAGAATTGAACTACAAAGACAGTGGAGTGGTTTCTTGTATTGAATAGAATTACTTGGATGAGTTTTCTCCTCTTCATCATCTTGGCACATGTTCTTTCATAGCATTTCTAAAATCTGGTGTTTTCTTTTTTTGTTCATGTAGTTAAAACTGCTAGTTCCTGCTTGTCTTCTCTTACCATCACAGCTGCAGTCTGTCCATGATCTCTGGGCATTTTGCCACTCACTTCAGTCAAAATAGACCCATCTACTGACAGAGCTGCATCCATCATGTGACCCCCATTAGCCCACTGCAAACTTCAACACACATCTCAGAGTGCTTTATCTGAAGCACTTGATCCACTTGATCATCTCCTTGACAGGGAATCCCTGTTCAGCCTGTCCCTTACAAGATTCCTCTGTCAGCCTCTTTCTGCTTCCCTGCTCTTGGTTGCCACATTTTTTCCTTGGATCCCACAGGTCACTTTTTAAAGTGGTTCCACTGTGATGTGTTAAATAACACAAATCCAAAGGTGAATAGTAGGTTTTGATGTATTAAAGGAACATTTTAGGGACAGTCTTCATAATTGGGCAACTTGACAGTAAATCCATTTTTATTGTTTTCTCCCCTTTTTTTTTTTTTCCATTTCTCTATTGCATTTTCTACTTGATGTAGGCTGTGGTCTGTGTTTCTTGGGGCTTTGATCTTTTGAGTCTCATGTTCCACAGTGCCAATATATAATGACTGCATATGTGCTTGAAAGTTAGTTTATTTTTCTGCATGAGTGGTTAAGTCATAATACAGCTGCAGCTTGCTACGTTTCCATGTTTCTGGGTGCTTGAAGGAGAGATGAAGTGTATTTGTAGTGTCAGCACTGGGGAAAGCCTTTTAAAGGCAGTTTGAAATAGGACAAAGAAGAAATGATGTGTTACTTTCTTTTAAAGGTGTTTATGAGGGCCCTTTTCTGCTATAACCCCAAAGAAGACAGAGCCATCCCTTGCCAGGAGGCCGGGCTGCCCTTTAAGAGGCGACACGTCCTGGAAGTTGTGAGCCAAGATGATCCCACGTGGTGGCAAGCCAAACGTGTTGGAGACACCAACCTCAGAGCAGGCTTGATCCCCTCAAAGCAGTTCCAAGAAAGGTTTGTCAGCAAAGATTATAGATTTATTTTTTTTCATTGATTTTTATGCCTTTTCTTTTTTTTTTGACAGAAAATGAAGGGCAGGGTCATGCCAGGATGAATACAGATGCTTAGAGAAAAGCACTAAAAAGCTCTATTCTCTTATTATATAATAAACTTCCTAGTTTGCTTTGGATAGTTTGCCATTGACTTAAGAACAGAAGCACTTGCTAAATGAACATATGAAATGAGATGTGGAATATCAGTCTCTTAACCCTCTTGCCTTATGGAGAGACTGTATTTCACAGCCTTGTACATCCACAGTAGAAAGGAAAATGTTGATTTATTGTAACTATTTTGAATTCATGCATGTAGTAATAATAAAAAATGTACCTGATCTCTCTTCTGGCTCCTCAGGGAGTATTTAGCTTGGACTAGGATACCTTCTAGAGCTTGAAGCTTCTCTGCTTTCACAGCAAGATATGTGTATCTTCTCAAGCAAAAATACCCCTCAGTTCTTGTCTTTACAGTACAGAAGTCTGATATTTAAGCCCTATATTTAAGAAGGAATCTGATTTAAGCCAATGGTCTCACTGTGTGATTCTTACTGCAAATCACTGGATGTGTCTTCTTTGAATTGTAGGTGTTACAGAGGTGGGATGTCTAAGAATTAAAACAGGTCTGATTCTATTCTGGCCTCCACAATTTCCATGAGGTTTCTAGTAGAGAACTTGGCTCTGCTATATGAAAGCTCATAGTTTTAAAGAAAGCCCTTTAAATTGCTGAATCAGAGACATTTTAGATTTTAAAGGAAAAGCCCTGTTTTATTCTTTATTTTCAATGCTACGTGTATACCATGCTATAAATCCTCTATAATTCTGAGCTTACACATCTAAAATCCATTTATTTTCCATTCAGACGACTGACTTACAGAAGAACAATTGGCACTCTGCAGAATGCCAGAACTCTGAAGAAACCATTATGTAAGTCTCTTCTGTTCTTTCAGTAATGTTTTGATACTTAGTTCTCAGCATATTTCTGTTATTTCAATAATGATGGGTTTGAGTGTATTTTACCATTGATTAATATTTTGTATACAATTGATATGCATGGATACAAGCTGCCACTTGAGAGGATTTGGGTTTGAGCTTTATCCAGTGTTGCTAGTGCCTATTATTTTCAAAAAACATGGCTGTCCCTCCCTTCCTGCTTTCAAGAACATGAAGCCTCACATATTGTTTAGATGCTTTAAAATTCACATTTTTTCTGTAGTTCGAAATTTGAAAGCTGCAAAAGCAACCCAATGGATACTTCTTGGAATTCTTACATAAGTGCATAAAATTACTCTAAACTCGAATGAAAACAAACTGTAGCTTTCAGTAGGATAAAAATCACTGGAGCTGCCAATACAATCTGTGTTTGAGGCTTTGCATTACAGAGCTGGTCTTAAGTAGACTTTAGAGGGATTTTGGTTTACAGCTCTGAAGCCTCTGACACTGAATTATTCACACAAAAATCAGTTGACAAGGGTATGTTACTTCAATTAGTTCTTTTTTTAAATTGTTTTTTTTTGCCTGTTAAGCAATCAGACCAGAACCTCCTTCCTTTCCATTCTCTCTAATTTTGCTCAATTATTTGTCTGTCTTTTAATATCATTCCAACTCTGCCTTTCATGCTAACTACAGATGATCAGTCCTCTGACAAAGGTAGGTCCTCTCCTACATCCAAAGCGTTTTCTAAAACACTTGCTACACCCTTAAAACAAAGGGAATAGTAGATGTATTGTTCCTAGGACAGTTTCTTTATGAATTATTATTTAAACTAATTTAATTCAGATTGATGACTTAAGTAATGATAACTTCCAAATTTGCTCTGGATTCAAGAGAAAAGATTTGTGTCTTCTGATACACGTTCTGTAGGTTTCTGAGTGAGCTTGAAAGAGTTAAATACAGTCTTTGTATCTGGTATGTTTAAAAAATAAAGAAATATTGGGGTTCAACATTCTAGGGCACCTCTATCAATCCAAAGTGATTTGTCTTCATTCATTTGGACTGTTTTCTGCATTATTTTCATTATGAGCAACTGTGGTGGGCTCATGCAGTTAATATGTCACTGTGCCTTTCCAAATATCAGGGATTTTGTGTTCAACTCTGCATGCTGTAGTTTTTTTCACATTCT